GCGGGGGGGAGAGGGGAATGGGGGCTAGTGTTTAATGGGGACAGTTTCAGTTTAGGAAGGTGAAGAAGTTCTGAAGATGACGGGGTGATGGTTGCACAGCAATGTGAGTGCACTTAACGCTATTGAACTGTCCACTTAAAAATGGTTAAGCTGGTAAATTATGTGTTATGTGTTTGTTGCCACAATCTAAAAGAAAAGAAATTTCTAGAACAAGGAGGTGCTGGGATAATGGAGGCAAGAGGTTGACGCTCTCAGATGCCGAGGGAGGTTGAGGAGAGGGGGGAGCAGTAGGGGCCCACTGCAGTGACAGGCTCGGGGCTGGACGGGGGACCAGAAGGGCTGTAGGCCCAGGGGAGGGCTCCCTTAGCAAGGCCAACTTGCGGTGCACCTACATTCGTCTCCAGAGCTTCTCCAGCTACCTACAGTGACAAACCTGTTTCTTGGTTTGTTTCCAAACTAGTGCAGACTAATACCTTTGTAAACTATAAGAAAACTGTAATGGGGGGGAAGATATACAAAATACAAGTTCAATTAAAATAAACTTATTTTACCCATCATATTTTAAATTGCTGTCACATTGCTTTAATGCTTCTAAATGCTTCCTCTCAAGCTCTTGTCACGGACCGGTGACAATCAGTGGGTAGTCTGTGGAACACACTCTTTCAGGTGGAGTGTGGTGAGGGGGGCCCTTCTCAGAGCCTCCACCACCCCCACCCCCAAGATTGCTCTTCCTGTCAGACCCTCGCAGGCACTTCTCCTGCCTCCCAAACTCTATAGCAACCACCAGCCAACGAGGGTGTGGATGGGGTGTAGGGCACAGAACTTTCTGGCTCACCCCCTATCCTGTTCCTGGTCTCCTTATAAAGGGAGGGGGCCCTTCCCTATTACAAGCCTGACACCGAGTCAGATCCTGACACCAATTCCCATGTGTGTTTTTTCCATACCACCAAGCAACGAACTCAATTCTGACACTACCCACCCGGAGACAGCATCAGGCCCCACAGGCTCAGGGCTCAGTCTTATAAGGCTGTAGCCACCCCTCCCCCCTCTCAGACACCAATTTCGAGTCTAGGATGCCACCTGTGCTTCTGACCAACCCAATAATAGACTGGAGGGTCCAAGGATCCCCTCCTTGGGTTTAATTAATTTGCTTAGAACAGCTTACAGAACTCAGAGAAACAGTTTACTAACTAGATCATCAGTTTATCACAAAAAGATGTAACTCAGGAACAGCCGGAGGGAAGAGATGCATAGGGCCAGGTATGTGGGGGGGGGGGGAGCATCTACTATGCTCACTCCCGGCTCCACTATTCCAGCACCTCCACCTGCTCATCAGTCCGGAAGCTTCCCAAGCACTGTCCTTTTGGGTTTTTATAGAGGCTTCATTATATAGCCATGACTGATTAAATCATTGGTCCTTGGGGATAGATTCGATCTCCAGCCCCTCTCCTCCTTCCTAAGGTCAGGGGGTGGGACTGAAAGTTCCAACCCTCTAATCACATGCTGGCTCTCCTGGTACCAGCCCCATCCATAGGTGCTTCCAAAAGTCACCTCATTAATATAAACTTGGGTGTGGTAGAAAGGGGATAATTATGAATAATAACAAGACATCTCTAATGCTTTCATCATTTAGGAAATTCCAAGGGTTTTAGGAGCTCTGTGCCAGAACTGGGAACCCCAAATAGATAAGTCTTATTACCTACACTATGGGCTCGGTCAGTTTGGGTTGACCAAGCCAGGAAATGAGAGAATCTTACTGAGAACTCTGTCTGTGGGGAAATGAGCAAAGCTGCCTCTCGGGGACTGTGGGGCCCTGTGGGCGACTTGGCAAGGCTGCCAAGTGGAAGGTGTGGATACGTGGAGAGTCAGGAAGTCAGAACCACAGGAGACATGGCCACACTGGTTTAATCCACAGCTGGAGTCTACAGTCTTCTACAATTTGTGGTGGGTGGTCCAGCGGTAGAATTTTCCCCTGCCCTAGACGGGAAATTCAGGTTGGATTCAGTAGCATGACTAACTGAATGAACTTGGGTTTTTCAGTCAGATCTGAGTTCAAATTCAGGTTTGGCCATTACCTAACTGTGTGAGTGTGAGCAAGTTAACTGATCTCCGAGAACCTCAGTGTGTCCTCACCTTTGAAAGGGCCGTCACAGTACCTCTCTAGACATAGGGCTTCAAGCACAGATGTGTCTAAGGACCTAATACGAGCCAGGCACTAGAGAGGTAAGTAACCAAGAGTAGCTATGATTGCAATCAACGTTACTGACACACAGCCTCAGGGAGTCTGGTCAAATAAGATCATGTTCATTCTCTTACCAAATCTGGAACATCTCCTTACCTGTCAACTGCCCAGTGACAGAGGGGCCTGCTGTCCTGTGGGGACAAGTAGTTAAGGGCCAGGGATTGCCCCACAACCCGGATAGAGAACAGTGACCCTGGGCTCTGCCAAGACAAAAACAAGAGAGGTGGGTCATTAGGCCTGTGGATTTAAATTAGACCCTTAAGGGCAAATAAATTACTCAAAAAATGTAATCCTGTTTGTTTACAGTCTATTTTGAATATTCCCTTAAGAATTAGTATTTAAAGCCTAGAGAGGTGAAGGCTTCATCTCCTTTTGAAGATACACACTGTATCTTTTAACACAGTGATCTAACCCTGTTTAACACATTAAATTTTCCCAAAGGATAAACATGTTGTTCTTAAATAACTCAGGTTTAATTGGAACAGAAACTGGCACAGCCATTAGAAAAATAAATTTATTATGTTAATGAATTATTAATAGGTAATTTAACTTAAAGATNCCATTAGAAAAATAAATTTATTATGTTAATGAATTATTAATAGGTAATTTAACTTAAATTAACATCACCAAATTACCAAAATGAGCCAATAATCTAAAAGCAAATTAGTGTATATTTTACATACCAAATGTTAAGTAAACACTTCAAAATAAGCCACATAAAGAAATACCAACTATGGCCCTGGCTGGTGTGGCTCAGTTGGTTGGGTGTCAGCACCGAAAGGTTGCTGGTTTGATTTCTGGTTGGGGCACACGCCCAGCTTGTGGGTTCAATCCCTGGTATGGGGAATGCAGGAGGCAGTCAATGGATGTCCCACTCTCACATGGATGTTTCTCTCTCTGTCTCCCTCTCCATTCCTCTCTCTCTAAAACTCAATAAAAAAATCTTAAAAAAAAAAAGAAATAGCAACTATGGTTTTATTCTAAGTCCCTAATGCATATGTCTGGTCACAAAAAAACCACTAAACTTCTAAATAAAGACACAAAACACTTCTAATATTTAATATTGAAATAAATGTGAGCTTTAACATTTAAAAGATGAATAAAAACAAGTCAGAGAATGATTTTCCAACCCACTATTCTAGTTCAGGGTCATGGGTGGCCAGAGCCTCTCCTGGCAGCTCAGGGCACAAGGCAGAACCTACTCTGGGCAGGACGCCCTTCCATTGCAGGGCCACCCACACCCACACTCACTCAGGCTGGGACAATTTAGACACCCATTCACCTCACCTGCCCATCTTTGGGATGTGGGAGGAAACCACACAGGCACGGGGGGATCGTGTAGACGCCACATAGACAGTGGCCCTGGCCAGAAATCAATTTTTTTCCATCAACATTATAATAAAACAATGTTGACTGATGGATGCATTGTTATTTGAGGACCTGCTGTACTTCCTAAGGAGAAGTTCGTTAAACCTGGGGGAAACTGTTTCTCCTGACACTCCTAATTGAGCTTTGCTGGTTGGATGGCAACATAGCTTAATCAAGGCCTTTACACTGCCCAGAGGCAGCTTAACCCAGCCCACACAGGAAGAAAGTTTACAAAGTCACATAAAAATGTCTTGGAAATGATAAATCTCTTTTTTACAATTCATGCAAATTAAGCCTGTCTAGCAAATGGGTGATTTTTGTAAGAGACACTTTCCTGTTCTCTATTCTTGGCTAGAGAAATTCATTTTAGAAACTCTACTATATGTTCACTGTTTTTCATCTCTCCAGTTTAATGTTGGGAATTCTGAATGTATTCTTTTCAAATGATTACCATATTAAGCCAGTATCGAATATATTACTAAAAGCATTATGAGTTACATGGGTGGGTGAGCCTGGGAAGCTCACAACCATTTAGAATACATATTCCTACAGAAAATCATGTCCAGCCACACACTTACCACTGACTGAGTTGGAGGTGACCTGTACGAGAATTTTGCTGGCATTTTTGCTTGATTGGTTTCTAAAGTCAGAATGACTGCAGGGTGCAGAGGCAAAGGCACACACGTGTCCAGGCAGAGAAGAGGCCAGCTGGGCTCAATGTTCGCATGAAAGTGGTTCATCCACTTTCAAGAATCAGGGCACAGGGTCCGGGGAGGCTAAAGCTATTCCTAGATACCATGACCTACTTAGAGAGAAGTTCGTGTTTCTAATTTGGGCTCTGGCAGATCTGCTGGCAGAACAGACAGCAAAGTCCCTCAGACCTAATGATGGGTATGATTGTAGGGAGATGTCTTTAACGAAGTGTTATTTGGCGTAAATCCTAAATTAAGTGTATAGTTCTCCCTGAACACGAAGGAACGTGAATTATAAAGAATTACCACTAAGTCTGGTACATCCCCCAAATGAAAAGTTCTTACTAAGAAAATAGCTGGGGCCAAACAAACTCCCAAAGCTACTAACCTGTCCCTAAAAGTGTCAACACCTTGTGTGCCAGGCAGCCATCAGAATGGTTTCTGATACTGCAGGGGCTACAGGAAATGGTTTCGGAATATGTTGCTTTTATTGAAAACTACTAACCTGAGAATAAATAAGTGAGCAAGGCAAAGAGGTGTTTTCTCTTGAGTTACTATCTCAGTTTTTCAAAAACTGGACACAATTATTTTAATATCTAGGTTTTCATATTTGGACAGAAACATCAATTTTAATTTTCCACAGAAATTATAGCTGAAGTCCCTTGAAGTTTTTGATCCAAACACAAAAGTTACAATTTATTACAATAAGCTGTCCTCCAGGAAGAACTATGGTAAGCCATAAATATACAAAAGCGAGAAGGGTAGTGTAACTCCCACTCTTGGTTCCCATGGTGTTTTGTAAGATTTAACGGGAAGAAAGCCCTGCCCATGAAAGGTATTTTGTAAGGCAATAAAGAGTGGGACACTACAGGTCATAAATTGGTTATTTCCTTGCACATAAATCAAAGTTGTTTTATACAACAACGTGCATCCTCATTAATAGCAAATTCTTGTCTTTCCTGAGCTACTCCTAGTTTCCCATCCCCATCTCCACCCCCTCAGCGCCCACACACGCACACACACACGCACTCTGACCTGCTGTCCCAGGGTCTCACTCTTCATGAGATAGCGGACCTTGCTGAGAATGCGCTGCTGCAGCTGGGCCCAGGAAATGGTTCTGTCTTCCCTGATCAGGAATGGTGGCCCAAACCTGAAAATCCAAGGACAGCAGGTTATTTCAGCAAAGGAAAAGCCACAGTACCCAACAGTTGTGAGCCTACGCTCTGTCATAGCCCCTGCCCACTGGTAAGAGTTAAACACCAAGCGCAGTGCAAATGGCCCATCGGAGAACCTTGCTGCCAATGGAGACACGGAGGTGGGAACAGAGGCCAAGGAGCGACCCTGCAAGGTGATCAGATGCTCCGAATGCTCGGCCAGCTGGGAAACTGCCCCACAGAAGAGAGCAGAGTAAGAGAGCATTGGAGCCAGAGGAAAGCAAGCAGAGAGTAACCCAGGGGAACCCAGCGCAGTGGCACCGCTGGCTTTGTGCATCAGGAATATTCTCCTAACTGGGGCTGTTGCTCACATCCCACGCTGGCCACACGCAGCTGTGAGCTGCTAATGCTGAGAACGCCCGATGTGGCCGTGCCAGCAGTTCTAGCTCAGCCACGGGGAACTCCGGACACATCACTGACCACTGACTGTGCCACGGCCACACCACACAAGCTTGCGTGAAGATCCAGTGGGTTAAGAACGTGAAGCTGGAGAATGAGCCTCGCTGAGAGCGCAGGTCTGAGGCCGTGAACCGACAGGCAAGCGCACTGCGCCTCCGCCGCTGTGTGGATGCATCCGTTTATCCAGCTTATCCTCTAGTAGGCATTCAGGTTGCTTCCGATTTTTCATTTGAACAATGCTTGCTTATAACAGGCACTACCCATATTCTTATACATACACCTTTGGGTGCACATGACTAATTGTTCTTTGGGATAAAGTTCCAGAAGCAGAAACGCAAGACCAAAGCTCTTCATTCCCCAGCTGCCCTCCAGAGAGGCCACAGCACCATTTCACCAATGAGACATGTGCCCTGTTCCCTCGGCACATGCCCAGAATGAGCTTTACTGATCTTTAAAGTTCCTTAATGCTCGGAAAGGTTAGGAATAGCACCTTGCTATTGCAATAGGAATTTATCCTACTAGCACAGGAAGCGGAATATTTTAACTCAAGCTTGTATTTCTTCTGTGAACTAATGTTAATCTCCGAGGCTCGGTTTTCTAAAGGAGCATTTCTCTCACTAATTTGAGAGCCAGGTTTTATATGATGGATCTGAATCCTTTATCTGTCACATGATGTCAATATTTTTCCTCTTTGCACTTTGCCTTTCAAATTTCGCTTTTAATTCAAAATTGCAGATGCATTTAAAACATTATCGTGTTCTTTATAGTCCCCGACTTAAGTGTTAAAATAGTCCCACCCAAAGGCATAAATATGCTCCTACTTTATCGTCAAGTTATTTTATGGTTTCCTTTACTATAATCACCTCTCTAATCAACCTGGAATTTACACATGTGAATTTATGGTGGGAGTAAAAAACTGATTATACGAAATTTTAAAAGAAATCAATTAAGCCAGCATTATATACTGAATAATTCATTCACTATCTAGTAATGTGAAATATACCATTTCTATCACATAATACTTAAATATACTTTGGCCTATTCTGTTCCATCGATTCTTCTGCTCACATCACAATATTTTAATAATTACAACTTCATTCTGTTTTAATGGAAAAATCCCTCTTCTCCCCACCCCCCAATATTTTCTGACTAGTCTTACAAGTTTATTATTCCAGATACATTTTACAAACATTTTATCAATCTAAAAATTTTTTATTGGAGTTATATCTTTTAAACATTTCATTTGGACTATCTAAGAAAACTATCTGCTTTTGTGCATTGGTTACGTGACCAGTCACTTTTCTGAACTCTTTCACTAGTTTTAATCACTTTCAAGTTCTTGGTTCTCTGGACAGGCGATGATTTAATCTGCAAATAGCGGTAACTGGATCTCCTCTTTTCTTAGAGCCAGTTTCTTTTCCTTGTCTTACTGCATGCCCAGGCCTTAGAACATAGTAAAAAATAATAGTGATGAGAGCAATAATAACTGTTCCTGAATTAATTTTAAAAAGCAAAGCTTTCAATGTTTAATTGTTAAGGACAGTATTTGCCATCTGCTTAAGGCAGTTATTTCTGATCTTCTGATCAGAAAGTACCCTACTCCCTACTCCTAGCTGATTAACCTTGAGAATGGATGTTTAACTCGATCAAATTAGAATTATTCCAGACAGAATTCCAAGTACACGCCTACACATCCCAGACATCCCGTAAAAAGAAGGGTGAAATTAAACATACCTGCTAGCCTGCTGCCCTGACCCCACCAAGTTACAGAAGAGGATTAGCACTTTGTTCTCCCTATGGGCGGGCAGGGATAATCGAGGACCCTCAGTGGCTGCCAAGCGAGGGGACACGGACAGACCAGGTGGATGAGCTGAAGAGAGAGAACTACGTTTGTATTCTTCAAGGAGCTGCTTCACTGGGTCAAAACCCTGACTTGCCTACGCCTCTTTCTCTTAACCACCGCTGGGAGACCCTTTAGGGGAAGAGACATAAGGTTCATGGCACTTATGCCATCTGGCACCTGGCACACGAAGGTCATATAAATAGTAGAGAATTTATGTTGTGTTCAGCCAATAACTTAAAAATAAAGGCAGGGATTTTAATTAACACTTTTCAAAGCCAATCTGAAAAATACTTCAAAATTATTTTGGATGTTTGTATAAGTATCCACTCTGTTAGAAAGCCATCATAAGCACACAGAGAAGGTAAGAGTCTTTACCCTCGAGGAAGCAGGGGAACTGGGCTTTCCTCAACTTCCAGTCAGTTCTAAAAATTTGACTTTTAAGGTACTGAGGTGTCACAGCGATTGAATTTGAAATGAGGGCTTGTTTCACTGAGTTACAACATAAACAGGGCCAGTCAACGTCCTGGTCCAGATTCCTTGCCCAGAGTCTCTCTGTTGACCCAGAACAACTGCAGGACCCTGGTCCTCACAGCCTGCCACCCAGGCTAGCTGAGGATATGGGGCTTGGGTACAGGATTCATCTGGGGTATATGGTAACACAGGCATAGGGTCCTCTAAATATGGGCCTTCTTGACTGGCTAATTGGGCCAAAATGTATACTGACCTACAATGAAAGACTGTCAGAAATTGGCCATCTTAGCCGATCTAAAGTTTATGAACAGCAAGTATCCGGAAGTGGAACTATTAACAAAAAGTCATTTAATAACCTCTTCGGGCATCTACTGCTCCAGTTTGTAAAAAATTTACTTTAAGCACAGACCTTGAACCACTGGAGTGTGAACACAAAGATTACTCAACACCTGTTCTGATTAGTGCTTGTCAAAGTGTGGTCTCAGGACCAACAGCATCAGCATCACCTGGGAACTTGTTACACATGCAAATTCTCAGGCCCTGCCCCCAGCCTAAGGAATCAGAAACTCTGTGAGTAGGGCTCAGAAATCTGCTTAAACAAGCCCTCCAGGTGACTCTGATACTCATCAAGGTCTTGAAAACCTCTGTATTCGTTGAATATTTTAAAATATTTAATTAACCATGTGTACAACAAATATCAGAGAAAATAGGCCTGATAGTTCCAAGTACTAAAATGAAATATCTTATGCTTTAGTACCCCATTAGTACTCTCTCAAACCTGTAACCCATAATATTCAAGCACTACTGTACCTGAGAGTGTCTCCTGGCCAGGTGGTGGAGGGGCTTGGAAGGCATACACGTTATCTCCCTCGGCAATAGTGTTCAGGTCCTCTTCATCAAAGAAAGACCGTTGGAGTCCGCTGGGATACAGTTCAACCAAGATCACCTGGAATGAGAAGGATCATTTTCCATCTTGATTTCTCAAAGGGAACTTAACAAATAAGAAATCTAAAAGCCAAAGGATTAAAAAGTACAAATTGGCAGTTACAAAATAGTCATGGGGAATATAGTCGATAATATTGTAATAACTACGTATGGTGTTAGATGGATACTGGACTCATGGGGGAATCACTTCATAAGTTATGCAAACATTTAATCACTATGCTATACACTTGAAATTAATATAATATTGAATGTCAACTGTAACTGAATATTTTAATTTTTAAAAATAATAAAAGTGACTGATAAGCTTAAACCTCTCTTTTACCCTTTCCTCCCTTCTAGCTAGTGAGATATACTACTTATTTTTAGTACTAAAACACTGTAGGTATAACAATTAGATTGACCACAGACACCTCAACTGCAACAATAGAATATCAAACTGCCCTAGGGAAGGGTGGGGGAAGAAAGTTGAAAATCTAAAAAGTTTAATAACCAGCTAAAGTATCATGTAAGATGAACATGAAGTCTTCTTCAGATAAACAAAAAGTGAGAGTATTTACCACTAACAGACCTCTACTGAAAGAAATTTTAAAGAGTATTGCCACCTTTTTTCACATTGTGACATACATGAAAAATAATTTTATGGACCACTGAGGTAAGCAGAAGATGATTTTGTAGAGAAAAAGAGGGGTGACTGCCTTGAGGATCTTGGTTGCTTCAGACCCAAATCCATCACTTCAATGGTTGAAAGAATCAGTATCTCAGTACACATAAATCAGTACACACTGGCTAAAAATTCTCTTATAAAAGATACATTTCAGGGTTAAAAAAAACAAAACAAAACTGAATCCAGAGGAAAACTTGAGTTTTAAGGAGAAATGATGAACAACGACAAAAAAAGGTAAACACTGGTAAATGTAAATATTTATTGACTATATAAACCTATAACAACGGCTATATTACAACCATGAAGAGCAGGGAGGAGAAATTATCCATCTACAATAATGTCTAAATCAAAAAGGTATAAAAGAAATTAAAGCATGCCAAGATCCTTGTGTTGCTTAGGAAAATTAACATAAGGCTTTGTTAATTATACATGTTGAAATCTTAATGATAACCAGTAAGAGCATAGATATATAATGTACATGTCCCAAACCTGAAGAAATTAAAATGAAGAAAAATTGCTTAATCCAAAAGAAGCAATAAAGAAGAGAGGAAAAAGAAACAAAGGAAAAGCAGGGTAAATAGAAAGCATAAAATAAGTCCAAATATGTCCTTGATCATATATAATATAAATGGAATAAAGTGGCCAGTTAAAACTAAATATCAAAATAGACTTTAAGTTCCAATCAAAGAGCCCACTCCTACACTTAGGAATCCCAAGTGATATGTATCTCCCTGGACAAACACACCACACCTCTCAAATTCCAACAGTCTTTCCACTCTCTTATTTGTTCAAACTCTACCTCTAGGACTTTTGATCTTTTATTACTGACATTTTTTCCCAAGATGCACCTACTGTCCTCTCTCTCTGCCCCCTTCTCTCTCTCTCTCTCTCTCTCTCTCTCTCTCTCTCTCTCTCTCTCTCAATAGATCCTCATAGAGTACTTTGAGTTTACCAAGCAATATAAAAACATTTTTAACCACTGGAGATCCTCATAAAATGGTTGTAGAGGTCAGAGGGATTGGCTTGGTGGGGGCAGAAGAAGCACTGGGAGATGAGAAGGTTTGGTAATCGTGGTGGTTTACATATATGTATATGCATGAAAAAATTCTACAAATTTTAACCTTAAGGCACATACACGCTATTGTATGTGTGTTATTCCTTAACAAAAAGGTTAAAAATACTTTTTAATTTGAAAAAAAATCCCATGAGGTCATCAGGGAAGTATAAAATTTTCATTTTACAATGAAAGAAACAATTACTTTGTCCAAGGTCAGAAAACTACAAAGTGACTGAATCATAATTAGAAGCCCATTCTGAGCCCCTCTCTTCAAGTCCATTGATTCTCACCACCATCACTTCTACCCTGTCCTTTCA